CTAAAGTTTTAATTGCACAAACCTTTACACTGATTTTCAAAACCTGAATCACACATAAATCAATTATATTTTAAAAAAATCAAGTTATTTAAATCCCAATTTCAGTTGCTCCCTCCTCCTGCCCCCACCAATGATGGGCATATTTTAACTAACCCCCTTATTGGATGGGAAGCCCTGTGCTTGAGGGACTTTCAGGAAACTTACACTGCTCCAGGGCAGGACTGAGGGGCATTGGCAGGGCTGTGGGGGGAGCCCAGGACTGGAATAGCAGGGGCTGCAGGGCAGCAGTGAAAGCTAGTGGCAGGACAGGGGGCCACTGAGGGGGGGGGATGCTGCAGGGCAGGGTTGAGGGGCATCAGCTCTGTGCTGAGATGCATGAAACCTTGTTTCGTTTCCCGCTTGGTCTCCCAGTTACACAGGGAAACGCCCCGTCTCCAACATGGTCATCGTTGACGTTACGATGCTGTCAGGATTCATCCCTGTGAAGACATCAGTGAGGAAGGTAATGGCCCTTCTGTGTATGGGCGGCAGCTCCCCAGGGGTATCTGCCCCACACCCCAGCGGAATCCAGCTCCCCACAACCCGAACCTCACGCAGTGGCCATCCAGGGTCCCTTGACTGCAAATCCACTTGAGGGGTAGCTAGCCCCAGGTTAGCTCCAAACCCCAACCCCTCATTTGCAGTCTGGCCTCTCCCTTGTCCCTTCTCCAGCATTAAGACCCTCCTTGTCTCCCGTATCTTTGATCCCATCTTTTCTTTCTGACCCTCCCCTGATTCCCCACTCCTTCCCCGTCCCGTCCCATCCCCCTGAGCTCCCACTCAGTGACTCCCTGATGAATTGTTATGCACAGGGTGAGCAGGCCCGGTTGGAGGCACCTCACAGTCTCCCTTGGAAGGGACAGCATTCCTGTCAGGGGAAGTCAGGATGGGCTCATGGGGTGCTTGGGAGAGAGAGTGAGGAGCCTCCACCTCCCTGTGACCCTCTTTGCTCCCCCAGCTCTAACACCCTCCCACAGACACACACTGCAACTCCTGAGCCCACGCCAGGCCGTGCATCTTCTCAGTGAGACCCAGATAGTGGGAGGTGCCCGTTCAGGGGCCCTGAGGTGAGATCTCACCAGATTAATGAAGCCTGTGAGAACAGAGAAGGTAGTGCCCACAGCCACAACCCTCCCCTCAGGGGACGGGTCAGACACTGAGCTGATGCTGCACTTGACAGAGTCCCAGTCCCACAGGGTGACTTAGGGTTGCCAGATATTTCAAAACGACAAGCCCAAATGAGTCTCAAAACAAGCCCCAAATGCACCACTCCTTGAACAACCACCATAAGCACTGAGGATATATTCCTCCCACCTTCCCCACATAACACCCCCCCACACACACTGCGACACCCCCCACACTCTTTGCCAAACCGGATGATCCACGGTGGCAGGTAGCCCCATAGGGGCCTGCCCGCCGTGGGGCTGACTCACTAAAAGAGCCGTGCACCCACCCGTGGGGATGGACTGCCTGGTCAGGACGCTGGCCCCAGGTCCAGCCATACAGCTGCCAGCACATCTAAGCAAGAACCTCCTAACACCACCCCCTGCACCCAGTCATTGTGGGAGGGCTCTGGCATGGACAAGGGTGACTCCAAGTGCCCGTGAGGCAGGGAGGGTGTCTGATTGTTGCCAGCTGGGGCCCTTAGTCTTACCGGGGGTATCGGAGTTTGGGGAGTCCAGGCTAGTGCTCCTCTAAGTCCTCTGTCTGCTGAGCTGTCTCCCAATCTATCCTGGATTT